ATGAAATATAATTGGCGCGGTATTACAAAGGGATGAAGTCAGCGATTTACTCGCTTCATCTTTACTCGGATATATTCTATGCGAGTAAGTTCAAACCACATACATAAATACTATTTACCACGACGAATTTAATGGTTTACTCTATAGAAAATACGTATTTTTTTTCATAAATAGGCATTATATTCYGCTACCTCTGTTGCATAAATGGCTTCAGAGTTAAGTTGAACTTCAAGTTAGCTAATTTTGGAAACTGATGCGAACAAAGCTTTCAAATTGCCAAAAATATAATTATTTACCAAACATATTATCCAAATATATTATGTTTTTCTCCACACTTTAATTTTTCATGAGCACGTAACAAAGAAATTTGAAATAAGTTTACTAAATTATGTGCCTGCTGTTTGATAATAAAAGAAAGCAACCAAAAATGAAAAAGTTTCGAGTGGCAGCCCTCAGATTAACTACATTCACAATTCACCCTGAGTAGAATATTTGCCGTTTATGCTTGTAGCCTTTGCCCTTGTAGAATATAAGCGATCAAAAATAAAGCATCTGATGGCTGATCTAGAGAAATCGCACGGAAACTGCTAAATGTAGTCCTTTGTGAAGCCAAAAAAAAGAAGAAATGCTGTGTTCGAACTTACGACTTAGTAGCCAATACAAATTTGCGCAGGATTTTAATTTCCATTGCCGGCAATTTGTTGGGATGTCTGAAGATCACAAAGTAAGTTTTGAGKTGTTTCCACTGGGACTTCTTCAATACAGCTTCTACAAATGGCGTCTTACAAAATGGAGTTCAATARGAAAATAGCCTGTTAAAAGGCCCACAGCTAGGAAGATGCTAGCTTTGCTGTGGGCAAAGAGATTACTGTAGAAATCATATACCAATCTCATCAAGTTTTCGTCTATCGGTTGCATTTATAACCCTTGGGTTCAATCGATTTTAATCACCTCTTAAATATTCCTAAATTCTTTTATATTGACTGAAATTTGAATTTCATCAACAAGTTTCATAATAATCATTTTTATACACGTCTCATACTAAGGACAATAAACCACCAAACTARAAATTATGAAATTAGCAGCCCTTGACGAAGTACGAATAAGAAGTGAAAAAATTTAAAAAATTCTGTGCACAAAATCCCTTGAAATTAACTGTTTGTGTGTTGAGGATTTCATTACGAATCCTACCTACACCCGTTAATATAGCAATAACAAAATAGTTAACCCATTTGTGCTAAGGATATATAAAATCAATCGTTTAGAAAACATAAACAATTTTCCGAAACATAATAGTATACTTATAATCCTTGAAAAATATACCAGAAGCCCCACAAATTCACTGAGTGGAATTATTTAAATACTAAATACCTTACATTTATTGTTTATTACAACATGCCTTTGTACCACGAATAATATTTAAAAATATCGTAAAATTTTTAGAAAATTTTTAGTTCTTCCTATTACAAATACTTAACCGTAAACTGGATAGGTAGCAACAGTTACAGGAGCAACGGTGCGGTATATAGGGTGCACAGATCTATAGACCGGATAGCTGGCACCGTAACTTACAACGGGATAATAGCCACGCTTCTGACGCACATGTGAGTCCGTTACTGCTACAGCATCTTGCTCAAACGGTGTTGAGTTGATGTCCTCACTACTGGCCAGGTAGCAGTACGCCGACGCCAAAAGGACGCTGAATAGCACAAATGCAAACAATTTCATGTTGGATTAAAAACAAAGATGTTTTTTAGTTCCTGAAACTAAACAAGCACTAGAGTGTCGAAAGAATTATAATGAAARAGCAGCGCTGAAGCTCAGTTTTATATTAATCCAGCCGATGTTATTTTTAGCCAAGATTTAATTTTAATTCTTAACGTATTTTCATGCAAATAAAAATTGTTGTTTCGGAATTTACAATTTTCAGGCAAMTTCTTTTGAAATATCTTCTTTAAAGCGACCAATGGACCAAACTTCGCACGTCGCTAACCACGAATGGAATAGAAAAACAAGTAAGGAAGGGCTAAGTTCGGGTGYCACCGAACATTTTATACTCTCGCATGATAAAGTGATAATCGAGATTTCAGGTGGTTGTGAACTGATTTCACCTATATTCGGTACATGTCATCAGGGTGTTAAGAAAATATTATACACCGAATTTCATTGAAATCGGTTGAGTACTTCCTGAGATATGGTTTTTGGTCCATAAATGGGCGAGGCCACGCCCATTTTCAATTAAAAAAAAAA